AGTTGAGTCTTATTTCTCTTCAAGGTGTTTCATGATTTGTCCCAATAGGTGAATTCTAAATTAGACACTTAGAAATAACCTGGCTGGAATGGATACTTGATATTCTTCTATCCCAATTATCTTGTTTTATAGATGAGGGACTTGATCCTGGTTAGGTCAAATGACTTTCCCAGGTGTCCCAGGTGGCTGAGTCAGAAACAGAAATGACATTTTTCAACATTCTTGCCAGTGCTCTTGGCATACTACCCTCATTATCATTCAAAACTATTTGACCTTTAAGGCAAATTTCCAAGAAAAGATATGTTTTGCACATTATGTCTTATATTTTATTTTTATTTTTTTGAGTTGGAGTTTCACTCTGTCGCCCAGACGGAGTGCAGTGGCCGCTTCCGGCCACCGCAGCCTCGACCTGCTGGGCTCTGGCGATCCTTCCACCTCAGCCTTCCGAGTAGCCGGAATTACAGGTGTGCGCTACCACGCCTGGCTGATTTTTGATTTATTGTAGAGATGAGGTCTTGCCAAGTTGCCCAAGTGGGTCTCGAACCCACGGGCTCAGGTAATCCACTCACCTCAGCCTCCCAAAGGCGCGGGATTACAGGCTGAGCCACTGAGCCCGGCTATGTCTTATATTTTAAATAGGAAGTCTTTTTCTTCAGTAATGATATTGCTGATGAATGCCATATTTTGGTCCCTAACACTGTCTGGCCTGGCACATTGGCACACACATGTAGTCTCAGAAACTCAGGAAGCTGAGGCTGGAGGATGGCTTGAGCTCAGGCATTCTGACCTGTGGTACACTATGCAATTGTGCTAAGTTTAGCATAAATATGGTGACCTCCTAGGAGGGGAAGTGGGGACCACCACGTTGTCTAAGGAGTTGTGAACTGACCCAGGTCAGAAACGAAGCTTGTCAAAACTCCCATGCTGATCAGTAGTGGGGTTGTGGCTGTGAATAGCCACTGAACTCCAACCTGGGCAACATAGTGAGACTCTCTCTCTTAAATAAATAAATTAATTAATTAAAAAAATTTATATGAATACAGGTTGAGTATTCTTTATTTAAAATGTTTGTAATCAGAAGTTTTCCAATTTTTGATTATTACAGATTTTGAAACATTTGCATACAATGAGTTATCTTGGGAATGGGACCCAAGTTTAGACACAAAATTAATTTGTCTCATTTATACCTCATACATATAGCTTGATGGTAATTTTATACAATATTTTATTTATTTATTTGTTTATTTTTGAGTAGGAGTCTCCCTCTGTCACCCAGGCTGGAGTGTAGTGTCATACTCATGGCCACTGCAGCCTCTACCTGCTGGGCTCAGGTGATCCTTCCATCTCAGCCTTCCAAGTAACTGGAATCACAGGCAAATGCCATCAAGCTTGGCTAATTTTCTGACTTTTACTGTAGAGACAAGATCTCACCAAGTTGTCCAGGCTGGTCTCAAACCCCTGGACTCAGGCAATCCTCTTTCCTCCAACTCCCAAAGTGCTGGGATTACAGTTGCGAACCACTGTGCCTGGTTTATGCAATGTTTTAAATAATGTTTTGTGCACCTGTCAAGTGAGATCAGGCGTGGAATTTCCTACTTGTGTGTCATTTCAGTGCTCAAAAAGTTTCAGGTTTTGAATTATTTCAGATTTGGAATTTTCAGATTAGGGATGTTCAATCTGTAGTTTGGTGATTATAATTTATCAGAGTGGAAGATCTAGAAATTATCCTTACCTATTTGGCAGTAAATAATTTGAAATTTTCTGAATATTTTCTCTTAACGGCATGCTTACATTATGTTAACTTTACCTTATGTTTCTTGTCTTGTGGGGTTGATGGCCTGGCAAAATGTATGTGCGTAGACATGAATGATAGATTATATTTCTAAAAAAATCCACAATATAAAATTTGTATTTTTAAAAACGCATTCACATTTGTTGAAAATTCAACACTTAATCAACAAATTTAGGTGCAGACACCATTTAGAGCATTTATTAATTTCCAAAGTCACGGAACTCCAAAGGAAAAATAGGCAACAATCTGTAGTTAAAAATCCAGTAAAAGGCTTGAAGAGTCCCATGAGTTGAGTGGCTATGATATCAACTTACTTCCAGTCCTTAGGTGAAGTATTTGCTCTTTTAGCATCAACATAATTCTGTACATTCTAACAAATGTACAGATGTTGTAATAGGAAACAACACACTATCAAGATCATTGAGCTTATCTCCCTTCAAGGCAAGAATCCTACTGAGATAGGGTAGCTAGTACAGATTAGGCATAGATAGATATATATTCCTTGTAAGCAGGTTTTAGAAAGCACACAGATATCCTATTGGCAGGCTGAACGGCCCTATGGGCTGGAATGTAAATTCAACGCGGACTCCTGGTCTGCCCCACCCCCTCAGTTCACCAAAGGAAAACACTCCATCAAGGTGTTTCCTGGACCTGGAATTAAAAAGCCATGGGGGGGGGGGAAGATTGCCTTTTAGCTCATGAACTTGTGTACTGAGAAGTCTGACAAGTCTCCCTGGAAAATACCACGCCTCCACTCATCAGAGGCCGAAAGATGGGAGTAGACACCACTGCCTACTCTATAACATATTAATCACTGAGTGGGTATATCAGTCCTTTTGTAAAAAGCAAAAGGCATGTTTTTTTTCTTTTTCAGGAAACTCGCCATGGCAGAACTTTCTGCCATGAATCTTCCTTTTTCCTTCTCTTCTTTCTCTAATAAACTTTGTTTTAAAACTTTGCTGGCCACTCTAAAATTTATTTTAAGGCTGAGTCAAAGAATCCACAAGTTTTGTGCTACATCCCACCTGCCATCACTACCACAAACTTTACAGGTGTTCAGCCAGGATCTGTTGATTTGAATAACTTTCTATCATGGAGAAATCACTATCTCCCAAAGCATCTGTGTTTTATAATTCTGCAGAAACCTTCCTCTTGGTAACGTTGCCCTCTTACTGCTGACTTCTGCCCTCTGGAATCAAACAGAATAGAGTCGAACCTTCTTTCATATGACAGCTCTTCAATTGTGTCCACCTACATCCTTATGTCCCTGGAATTTTCTCTTTCTTTTTCTTCCATAGTTATGTCTGTAAATTCCTCTTGGGAGATTAAGTTTTCCCCCCCACTTCTCCATCTCCTTGCCCTAGATTTAGTGTCTCTCTCTCTCTCCTTTTTTTTTTTTTTTTTTTTGAGTTGGAGTCTCACTCTGTCGCCCAGACTGGAGTGCAGAGGCCGCTCCCGGCCACTGCAGCCTCGCCTGCTGGGCTCCGGCGATCCTTCCGCCTCGGCCTTCCGAGTAGCCGGAATTACAGGCATGCGCTACCACGCCCGGCTGATTTTTTGATTTATGGTAGAGATGAGGTCTCGCTGCCCAGGCGGGTCTCGAACACGCGGGCTCAGGCAATCCACTCACCTCAGCCTCCCAAAAGCGCGGGATTACAGGCTGAGCCACCGAGCCCGGCTCTCCTTTTTTTTTTTTTTTTTTT